CAATCGTTATAAGTGAATAAAAAAATAAAATATTAAGTTAATGGGTTATTCATTTTAACTTATGAAATTAACATTCTCCTACTTGACCCACAAACAATTTTGAAAGCTATAATATATATATTTTTTATTCTAAAATATATTTATTGGTAAAATAAATTTGATACGTGATTATAAAAAAATCAGCCAACAAACTTAAAATTATCATACCATAACACTAAACTAACTTAAATTATAAATGTGAATCATAGCGATCACATGACTTCAATGTCACATTTCCTTCTATGCACCACACATTAATAACTTTTACTAATTCAGTTTATAATGCCTAAACAAGCTCTATAATTTGTCTTGTCAAGACATTCCTTCTTGATTAAATACTAAATTGTGCACCCATAATTAACAAATAGAAAATAACATAAACAAACTTTAATGACAATATTAATTATTCAATCACTGAAACATCTATCATCATATTATGGATTACTCAAAAGATCTAATGTTACAACATATTCTACATATGTCTTTGGAGGTAGTTTTTTAGTCAATGGATCAACAATCATAAATATGGTACTAATATTTTCAATCGACACTTATTGTTTCTAAACTCTTTCTCTAACAACTAAATATTTTAAGTTTATGTATTTGGATCCACTAGAATTGTCATTCTTAGATAATAAAACAATTGTGGTATAAACTCAGCCTCCATTGTGGATGAGGCAGTAATGGACTGTTTTACACTTTTCTATGAAATTGCTCTATTTGATAGCATAAAGACAAAATCTAAAGTGGACTTTAAGCTATCACGACAACTACCATAATCCGAGTCCGAGTATCCAATAACCTTTAATTGTTCTGATCTTTTATATGTGAGCATATAATCTTTTGTTCCTTGAAGATACCTCATAACCTTCTTTGCAGCTTTCTAATGTTCAATTCCTGAATCACTTTGATATCTTCCTAACATACCAATAACATAATTGATATCTGGTCTAGTATATGTTTGAGCATACATCAAACTTTCCACATTAAATGCATAAGGAATGTTCTTCATCCATTCCCTTTCTAAGTTATTCTTTAGGCACTGAGTTTTACTTAATTTTCCTCCCTTCATAATGAGTGCAACACTGATTAAACATAACTGTATATTAAATCTGTCTAAAATTCGGTTGATATATTCTTTCTGAGACAAACCTAACAATTCTCGAGATCGATCTCTTAAGATTTCTATTCCAATAACATAGGTTGTTTCACCTATATCAACCATCTGAAAGTTTTTAGAAATAAATTTCTTGGTTTCGTATAACAAAGATCATTACTAGTTAGCAAAATATCATCCATATATAGTATCAAAAATATAAACTTGCTCATACTAATTTAAAAAATGTAATGGTATCATTGAACTTTACATTTGATTGTTTGAAAGTTTATTTAAGACCATAAATGGATTTTTTAATTTGCAAACTAGGTATTCTTTTCCTTTCTTTCCGAACCCTTTAAGTTGTTATATGTAAATATCTTCATCCAAATTCCCATTCAAGAAAATGGTTTTCATATTCATTTGATATAAGTTTAAATCAAAATATACTACAAGGGTAAAAATGATTCTAAGGAAGCTTTTTTTTAGAAACTGGAGAAAAGGTATCTCAATAATTTATACCTTCCTTCTAAGTAAAACATTTGGTCACTAGTCTGACTTTAAATCATTTGATGTTGTATTCAGCATCGCATTTAGTCTTGAAGACTCATTTACAATCGACATTTTTTCAATTATCAAGCAATTCGACAAGATCCTATACATCATTATGATCAATAGACTTCAACTCTTCTTCTGGATTTACCTTTATTCTTCATAGCTCCATGAGTAACTACAAGGGCAAAAGTTTGTCAATTTTGCTTTAATCTCATTTCCTCATAAATACACTTGCTAGTAAGCTCATTCGTGTTCCACTACTCATTATTAGTGTTATAGTGAATTTTGAATGAAGCCCATTGTGTTCCACTATTCATTGCTAGGAAGTGAATTTAGAACAAATTGAACTAAAAATAACTCATCCATGTTCATGCCTAATGCCTTAGGTTTTTTAGTCTTTTCAATCATGTTCAAAATATGTTGTTGAATTCCTTTCTAACTATCATATTTCATAATGGTCAATTCAGCCATCAATATATCTGTAAGAGACTTATCACGCCGTTTGAAATGCTCCTCCATAGATTTAAGAAATTGTGAGGCTATCTCAGTTTAAGGGATGAAAGTTTTGATGTTAATAGCAATGATCATTCTCATAAATATAAGACTGAGTTTGTTTGACCTTGTCCAGGCTTTCAATTATTCCGTTTGCTCCAAAGTATTATCATCAGTAGCTTCAGGAGGTTTTTCAATTATTAAAGCAAAGTCAAAGATCCAATAAATCCAACAAAAATTGGACTCTTTCATACCACTTCGCAAAATTCGACCCATCAAAAATTATCATTCCAGATGTAAGAGAATATAGTGAAGTGAGAACTGTAAAAATAGAACAATGCTCACAGTAAGACATCAAATATATGTATAATATAAAATTTATAAACAATGAACTATTGATATCACTATAGTTTTTATTTGGGCAAAACATTGGCATATCTATGTTCGCTCAAAGAAACTTAAAATATCTAATATTTTATGTCATTTACATGTTATATTTGGGTATCCATCTAAATAAAATAAAATAAATTATTAGTTCATAATCTCCTTTAGGTTAGTCTCAATCTTATAATTATAAAAATATATATGTTATTCCTTTATAAGTCTTTCTTAATTCTTTAATGTAGTTTAACTAATGCAAGATTCATCAATCTGAGTTACTTTGGTAACTTGTCATATTAATAAATCTTAAATTATAAAACTACGAAACCATAATTTGTATAAAATATACATATATAAATTTACACATTTAAAATTATCTGTAATTTAAAGTATATATATACAAGTTGTTAGCATAATAATATATATAAACTATTAGTTTAATAATATATATATATATATATATATATAAACTGTTAGTATAAATTATATGCATATATATAAACTGTTAGTATAAAATTATATATATATATATAAACTACTAGTACAATAATATATATATATTATGTATATAAATTGTTAGTGCAATAATATATACATAAATTATTATTATAATTTATATGTATATAAACTGTTAATGATATATAAATTGTTAGTATAAATATATATAAACTATTAGTATAATAATATATATAAGCTGTTAATAATATATAAATATATATACACTGTTAGTATAATATATATATATAAATTGTTAGTATAAAATATATATATATATATATATATAAAATGTTAATAATATATAAATACATATAAATTATTAATAGAATTCTAAAATATATGAATTCAACCTCGCTCTGATATCAAATGTAAGAAAATTTGATGTCGAAGTAATTTTTTTATCGAATTTGATACATTTTAAGAAAAAACAAATAAACAGAATGTCAGAGCTATATACCACTCGAAGACGATATAGCCATAGCGTGATTGAGAAACTATTTGATAAAAACCTTAATTATATTATTCACTTCTTTTATTAATCTAATTATTGTGCACAAAAATTCTGAAACTATAGTTGATGGAAGATATATTAAAAAATAATTTATGCTCTTTTTATAGATTAGAGGAGAGGACCAAACACATTCAAGGTAATTGAATATGTTAATAACCATTTCATTATACTTTAACTCTCATAAAATACACTAATTTTATAATTTATTTTAAGGTTAGCCACTTTATCAATGTACATTTTCCTTTACAATGGTTATTTATAATTTTAAATATTCTTTAAATTGACTTCAATCGTTATAAGTGAATGAGAAAAATAAAATATTAAATTAGTGGATCATCCACTTTAATTGCTGAAATTAACAAAAAATAGACACTAGTTTAAACAAAAGATAACCATATTAAAATTACATCATATAACCCTACTTCTTTTTAAGGAAAAAAAGGATATTATATTGAGTTTAATGTGTCCTTTCACACTATTATGCATTGAGCTTAACATTACAAAGCCAAACCACCACAAAACTAACATGACAACTTCTCTCAATATATATATACATATGTTCTACTCAATAACAAGTCATCATGTAAGCAATGCATTTTTTCATACCATATCCATCATATGAATAACATATTTTATTCCTACTCAATCAAAAATAACATAACATAAATCTAAAAGTGTAACACTCCGCATCTGTATTGTAATTTTTAATTAGTGAAACATTTCTAATTTATAATTTTAATTGTATTTTGTAAAAGTTTCATTAAGATATTACTTTCAATTAATCATACTTAATTTCGATAAACATATCGAGAAATAAATCCAAAAAAAGTTTAAAACCCAAAAATTAATAAAATAGGGGTTTGGGGACCTAAATGAATGATATCAGAAACTTTGGGGCCTTCTGCAAATTAAAAAGGGCCCTAGGGGCCTAAACGAAGTGAAAATTCAAAAACTAGGCTTTCTATAAATTCAGAAAGTATGGACACGTCAGCGTGCGAGGTGTCGGTGGTTCCAATCGTTGTCCGCCGCGTGGCGAACATCGGACGCGTGGTGCCACGTGTGCTAAGGGTTGATCGGACGGTTTGTCATATGCGGGTTAGATCGAACGGCTGACATCCATGAATGCACGGACGGTAAAGATCGCATCCCGCCTAAATAGACGGGCCAGATCTCTTCCCGCCTAAAATTAAACGAACGGTGCAGATTAAAAGTTCAGATGAACGGTCCCAATCGCATAAAGGGCGATCCAACGGCCAATATTTAAGGAGGTGTAAAAAGACCAATAGGCCCTTAACAGCATCCTGAATCGAACGGCTCAGATTTGGGAAAGGAAGATTGGACGGTCAGGATGCATTGTTTCATGTGAAAATGATGAATATACCCATGATCGATCCAACGGCCCAGATTCAGGAGGTAGATCGGACGGCTCTCTTAACTAAATCCTACCCTGCTCCTCTTTCGAGAGGGGAGAGTTCCGGTCGGTAGAGAGGAGTGGTGAATTACCGCCGATTGGGAAAGAGGGGAGATAATCGCCGGCATAGGTGAGGGAGAGAGAGAGAGAGATACGCTGAAGTGACTTCCGCGCGCGTGTGGAGGCGGAGGCCGCTGCGTGATTCTCGGGAACAAGAACGACTGGTGGCAGCCCCTGCAAAGGAGAGGAGTGGGGCGCGCAGGAGGAGGAGGAGAAGCGGCGGCCCGGCGGAGCAGAGAAAGAGAAGGGGACCTTACCGCCGTCGTGACGAGCCGCGATTTCCGGGTTCGAGAACAAGGTAAGGGCGGCGTAGTCCTGACTCTAGATCTTTGTTTTCCTCATTTTTTTTTCTACATTTATCATGTGAATGATGCATACATGTGCGGTTGAAGGATTCATGTCATTTTGTGTGATATGTATTTATGTACATGTGTGAATATTATTTGTAAGGTAGTATCTATGTATGTCTAAAGTGTGATATATAGTCATATATAAATTTAAATTCAAGGATTCTTCCTCAAGGATAGGTTGAAAAATCTGTATTCTACCAAAATGGATTTCTAAATCCGTTGTCTGCAAAATAGGTTTCTTTGGATTTATTATCCATAGATTAGTAGCTTGTGTTGTCTTGAATGCTAGTGCTTTTGTAATTGGACTAACAAGGGTTTTTGAGTTCCCCCGTGACTTTGTTTTTGGGGTTCTGAGCATTAGCAACTTTTGGTTTCTGAAGAGTGAATACCTAGTTAATGAATTGAAAATCAAGCCTTGTTTGGCAGATTCTGCAGCAAATGGCAAAGCGAAGAGGAAGGAAGACAGTTAAACAAGCAGAAAAGGATAGCATGAAGCAGACCCAGATCAAGAATGAAAATGTGTTACCCCTTGATCAAGAAGGCAAGATTTTTGGGATTCACATTCTTTTTATTGTTCCTTTTCATACCATGAATATTTGCATTGTTGTTTTATTATATGGAGAAGTACAGGTCGATACTTTCTAGTTTGTGATATATCAGATTTAATATATATAGTTTACTTTTAACAGTTTTAGTAATCATGATCTGATCCTAACTAAGGGAGAATAACACTATTTTTTTTTTTTGGAAATAAAAAGTGGGGAGAATAACACTATTAATTTGAACACACTGTACAGTCTGGATTTTATAAGTTTGAGAGATGGACAACTTAGATTAGCTTTTCCAAAATTAAAAAAAAAACTCAAATATTAGTTTTATGTGTGCAAACTTTCCCAAAACTTCTCTAGTATGGATTTTCTTAAATTTTCTTTTAATTTTAAGTTTAACCATTTAGTTTTATTTTAGTTTTAGTTTATAAATATTTGTAAGTTTCAGGCTTGTTAATTATAAAAAATCTAATATGATTATTCATGTGTCAAATTTTTTAAATTCCAAACTATCAATGTGTTTAAATTAATAATTTTATTTTCTGTGACTAATTGTCATACCACAGATAATGGATTAATTGGTACTTTTGAAAAGTGCAAACTATAACCCAACCACTTGCAGATTTTTTTGGAAAATACCAAATGACCAAATCAAACTGCTTTTCTTTTGTTTGAATCGGTTTGGATAAGCTGTTCAATTAGGTATTGCGGTTATTTCTGCATACCCCTAATTTTACTGGTTTTCAACTTCCCTTCTTACTTTTCCAATATATCCAAAGAATAGTTCTTTTGGTAGAGGAAATATCAAAAGTAAATTGATGAATTTCTATGCATGACCATAATTCATCTCAACCAAAAATGACATTTTAAAATCATCCATAGTTTTGTGCTTAAAATTTTATGTGGATTGAAAATAATTTACAGTTCTTAATGGATCATTCACATAGAAAGAATGATCAATTCCTTCTCAAATTTGTAGCTCTTCAAATATAAAGTAGGGTGATTCTCAATCCTGAACTTGATTTATCAGATGAGAGTCAAGCACCTTTTTCCGTGGTGTTCTGTCCTGTCAACCATGGTGCTTGGTTTATAGCCTGCTGGGATTGAATTGGGTTGTGGGGGGATAGGTCAAAGAAGAAATTTGGGCATATAGAGCCATCCAAAGATAAGCATTACAATAAGCATATGGGCCTTATCCCTTTTCCTACCTTATGGGTAATATAGAAAAAATGAGACATAAGAGCATTTGTGAGTACAAAATTGTTTTTGAATAGAATAAAGGATACTCGGTTTAAGAACCTAAGTTTTTTGGTAAAGGGTTGTCTTCTTTATACTTACAAGGATTTAATCGATATTTTGATAAACTTATTAAATAATTTTGGTTACAGATAGCATCCCCTGGTGTTCATTAGTACTCTATATATTTTTTAGAAAATGATTTTAGCAATCTCATATTCACGAGGAACATAAATAATGTAAATTTCCTTAAGGATAAGTGCCCTTCCTTCAGCACTGGGGCAATGCCTAGATGGTTATGATCCAAGCTAGTAGTGACAAGCATTTGTGATAACTTGGGTAGTACCTTCCTTTCATTTGAACGACAGTGTGTCCCTTGCCTTTAACTTGCTCTGATTATCTATTACCTATTTTCACTTTGGTTTTGGTTGATCTATCCAAATCATTGAAGATTTGGATCTTTTACCATATAATTGGTATATCCTTCATCTGTGAACCAAGAATTTTCTCCACTTGATTGAACAGCATAAAATGCATAAACAAGTGATCTTCATTTTGTTGATTCTGATTTTGCTTAACTTTACAAAATTTTCTGTGTGCCAAACTTTTTGCAACATTTATACTAGATCTTGCCTTTCTACCAATTCACTCTTGAGATTTTTTCTTGCAAGTTCTATAAGGTGGAAACTTTCCATTCTCTTCGGTGTGTTTTTGCCTTTATGGTGGTTTGCCTTTCCTGTTCTGCCAGTAACAGGTTTCTTGCAATCTTTAAATGTTAGTTGTTGCTCCTTTTGCTTGGCTAGGAAAATATCTTCACTTTACCAGATCTTATAGAAGCTCTTTGCGAGCTTATTTAACTTACTAATTACTCAGGTACAATAAAATTCTTCAGGTCACAAGATTCTTCAATTGCAGAAATCATGGACTCAAACTTGTTTAGTAAGATGATTGTTATCTTTTCAACAACTTTATGATCTTCAAATGCTTCACCATAACATCTCAATTGATTACAAGCTCTATAAGCTTGGAAGAGCGGTCTTTGATTATCTGGTTATTTTTTTACCCTCAATGTTTCAAACTCTCTTTTTAGAGATACAGCTTCATGGTCCATGTCTTTCACTTCCTTTGAATTACTGGAGCTTGTCCCAGCTTGCTTTGCTATGGATGTTCTCATGATAATGGTCTTTGATTGTCTGGTTATTTCAAAAAAGATAATGAAATTGCAAAGTGAGAGCAGGATAAGCATTTAATGTATTCAGTATATGGCTCTGTATGTTACCCGATCTATTGAATTGTGAGATTTTCTGTCAAAGGACTGGCTCCTACCCATTTTCAGTTGTGTTACAAAGGTCATAAGCATGGGAACAACTTTTACTTTTGCAGCCCCAAAAAACGCAGTTGCTGTTTGCCCATTGTCATAAAAATTCTTACTCGCTTGAAATAATTTGATGAAATTAGCATTAAACTTTCATAAGTTCTCAAGAAGAAGGCTCTACGACCAATTGTTAGAATTTGTGGAACAAAACAGCTTATTTTGTGATATCTTAAAATTATCGATCTGTATTCAAGAACGAAAGAGCTTATTGTTCAATGACTTCTCTTATACACTACCTATTATTTATTTTCAACTCAAAATCCTATGTAGCTTACACTCAACTTTCTTATTTTTCCTTTCACACAATCACATTTCTTTTCCTAAAAACTATCTATTTGCCCATGACAACAAAATATTAAAACTTATTGAAAAATGTCACAACTCTAATAGTTATATGGTGGTTGACGTGTGGTGGAGTGTGCTGGTCATAAATTTGAGTTGTATGTGGCATCACCCGGTAATGGAAGGAAAATTTTGAAAAACCGTTACTTGTTGATTCCTGCAATGGTCCATAAATTTTGATCCATTATACCAACTCTTGTGGTGTTTATACACGCTCTGCAATACAGCCAAATAATTTGCTCAATTTTGAGGAAAAGCTTCTTTTAATGTCCTAGACTCCTCACTTTGATGGCATCTGATTGTTTTATATTCTTAATTTTTTAATGAATTGTTTTCTGAATCTAACTGATTTAAATTTTACTTCGTACTTCTAAGTTGAAAATCAAAATAATAGAAATAGTTTGGAACTGGCAATGTTTTCAGATTTATAGCACTAAGTGCTTAATTTCATAGTGAACATGAGCCTGTGTTAGATGTTTCTATCTTTAACCTGATACTTGTGTAACAGTTGAGCGACAAAGTGCTGCAGTCAGGGCTATTCGTGATGTGGAGATTGAACATTCTCTCACCGCATTGCGTTTGCTTCGCTCCTATTTTAGTGAGGAACAGCTCCAAACTCCTGTATTGCAATTTTTCAAAGAAAACCTTCCAAATATATCAGTTGTGAAAAATGAGGAAGATGGACAATTTGAAGTGCAATGGGAAGATAGAGGTCAAAATTTGTCCATGAACCATGCAGATGGGAAAAACATACATGCTTCGCTTTTACAGCGGTTGTCAATAGCTTATCCTCACAGCTATGCAATCCCACCTATCAATAATTTTTTATCAAGTGAAGCAGGTAGTGGAGGATTGATTCTCTAAGTTAAGGGAGTCAAAGCGTTATTTTGTATATTGGTTTAACTGATATATGAGTTACCTTTTGGTGGCAGGGAGAACAAACCTGTTAGGCCCCGACAGCCTGCAGTTCAAGGACTTTGTATGTTAAATGTCAAATTACACAGTTAATTTCTGTTTTGTTCTTGAGATTGTGAGGTACAGGAATAAAAAAGGCTTTTCAATGATTGCTGAAAACTAAATAAAATTGCACTTTAAGGGGTGATTGATTGATTCGAGCTGTTGCTGCTTGAAGGCAAACAAGTATATTTTATTGACCCATATTGGAGTTCCTCCTTACACATTTGCATACTTAAATATATTTGTAAAGAATTGTGTTTCTATAAGGAATATATTATTGTAGTTTACAATTCAGTTGATTACCTAACTTTTTGGTTTTCAATTTGAATCTTATACGATTTAGGTCTTGGAGGGGCCATCAGATAGTCAAATGCTTAAAATGCAGGATGCTCTTTGGACTCCTGGGGTTGGTAGCTTGACCATTTGCAATTTGAACTTTTTGATTTGTTAAGTTGATAGATCCCTTCAATATGGAGCAGTTTATGTAAATTTTTAGAAGAAAATAGAAGCTAAAAAGTTTCACTTAAGCTATTTTATTCCTTGTGGCTGATAGATGAGTGCTCGGCTGATTAGTGTTCTTCTTTATTGTTCTTACAGGTGAGCAGTCAACGACTATCTATTGGGATGACACCTAAAACTGTCAGGTATCCGAAGCCTGGTGAGATGCTTCTCTCTATCCATGGTTCACCCCTGGGTGTCTACAAGGAGGATAACATGGGAGCTATAAATGGTAATGCTTTATTGAATGTACAGCACTAAATGTTGGTAGGCACCTCACAACACGAAGATTCTGATACTTTAAATTTTAATTACAGAGTCTGAAGAGGGTTAATCACCTGTAGATAACTTCGTTTATCATAGTCTGGAAATATGCAGCCAAGTATCTGGATATTCTCCATTGCTGTACAAATGGTTATTTCAGTACATGAGATGAGATTGTGCTTTCATTCCTTCTTGCAACTGGAGTCATGTGGATTCTTAATTAAACTATGGGTCTGCATGTTAAAGAATCAAGGATCTCTTGTAAATTTTTCTGTTATATGCAGATCTGAAACATTCTGATCCGTCAATCAGCAAACTTAAACGGTGACTTAAAAGGTGATTTTGTTTTTAAAAACTTCTGGGGAATGGCGTGGCTTCCTTAGTAGGTTCAAAAATTATTGACGGATTGTTTGTCCTTCAACCATTGCTGTCTAGGGCTGCTTTATTCATTTATTTCCCTTTTGTAATAATCCTTAAGCTTCCCTTTATCTTGTTATCAATTAATTTTAAATCATTCTCTTAGCTTGAAAAGAAAAACATCACCAGACTTAAGCCTATTCTGGCTGCTCCATCTGCATCCCTACTTAAAATATCAGGACCTGCAGTTTGGGAAAGATGGAATGCGGTGAAGATGGCTGAAGGGTTTGCAATTATATGCTTTGCAACTGGCTTACAAGTCAGTTCCTTTACATGCTAGGATCCTCCATAGACCATGCCTAGTCCTTGATCAAGATAACCTGTGTTCTATGGCAGCATTTTCTAGGTATTAATTTTGAATCCGACCATATTCCTCTATTTCAATATTGAATCGCAGAATGATAGACGTGTAAAATAGAAGTTGTTGAGAATCAATTTTCAATCTGTTACGCTGTATATACATGTTATAAATAAAATAATATAGAGCTTCAATAAAGAAAATATTCATATTGTCTAGTCTTTAAGTTCCATTATGGAAAAAACCAAAGAACTCATACAATATGACGCTGAATAAAGAGATGGTTTGTAGCTTTCACTGGAATTTGAGCAGAAAACACGAGGAATGCTACATGTATTTTCAAAAGAAATGTCAGGCAAACTTTTATTCAAAAGTCCTGTAATTATTTCTGATATTGGGAGATCAAAAATTCAAATAAAAAATTAGATCTGATAGCCGGTTACAACCGGGAGTTATTTCCAAGGTATTTCTGTACATAGACCCTCCTCAGTTTGCTTCTAAAACAAGGGGGAAAAAGAGTAACTTGAAAAGTTTACAAGTAGTATTTCATTTCTATACTCAAGAAATCCTTGATTTGAAATGACAGTTACAGCAGAAGCTACTGCCTTTTGAATCTTCTTGAAGGCAATAACCTAGTATTAATCCAGAAATACTCCTTTCCAGTGTTTTGGCCTGATGTTAATGTCCTAATCTAAGGCCTCAGTAGTTTGGGTCCGCTGTTTGAAGCCATCCAAGACGTGATTACGTCCACCAGCAATTCAACATCCTTGGATATTTCTGCACGGAGGATCTTTGAATCCACACCTAATGAATTACCTACTTCTTTCACAACTGTTTCCCACGGTGTTCCAGCTGTCAGATTTGCAAAAAGTTCACTTCCACGATTTACAGCATCTGCCATAGCTGGTGGAACATCTGGCAGGGCCTGCAAGATAATTGAGCAGAACGTGTTATTCGGGGTAGAAGACAAAGCAAGAGAATTGGAATTAGAGAAGATGAACAGAGAAAAAGATGGATTGGGAGAAGAGAATAGGAAAATGTGAACAGAAAACAAAATATTGGGAAAGGGGCAAGGTCTCATCTCAATGCTTCAATCAAAATGCTACTTGTTCTGAAACTAGGCATCAAAGACAAGCAAATAAGGAAAATTAAACTCCAAAAGTAGAAAATATGGTCTAACTCAATAATCTGAATCAACTTTTAAAACTATATATAATTGGTTGATCCACCGCCAAAAAGTTGCTTGTCTCCATTAAGTACTTGAACTTTGAATAAAAAGTTATAGTTCTTTTGAAAACTGCAATTTATAAATATTTTAACAGGATAAAAGCCATGGTGATTGATAACTGAAGGTTGGTACAAAACATACCTGTTGTAAAGGAAGCCCGTGATCTCCGGGCAATAACCGAATTGACATGTCTAGCATTGAACTAATGGCTGACTCTGAACTAAGCACCTGAGCTAGTGTTGATGTCTCATCAATTGTGTCATCTTTGAACTTTATGAGAAGATTCCTCGAAACACCATAGTATGACTTTATCTGAAAGAATGTTTTAAGTGTCAACAGTAGAAAATCTATAAACAACAGGAAAGTTCAAATACGAGAAAAAAGATCAGTGCAGAAGAGAGTTGCATTTTTTTTACAAGTTATTCTAGAACTTTTTGTTTTTGAAAGAAAAAGTATAATATTTGTATTAACAAGGTATCAAAGAACTTAAAAGAAAAAAGTACTATACTAAGAAATTTTCAATCATTTTATGGAAAAACCCCTCAAGTAGTCTGTTGAAGTATCCTAAAGTTCCAGATTTGGACCTAGCCGTTAACTAAGTACTGTCTCCTACTCACTGATCATCGCACCATGCAATGCACCATCACTCAAAGCATCAAAATTGTCACTGAACACCTTTAAGAAAGACGAGCTGATTTTACATATCAACTTCTGAAAAGTAATAGAAGATCAAGACACAAATAATCAAAGTTTACAAAACATGATAAATTAGTTCATCATACAAAATGGCCCATAAAGACAACCATGGAAGACTTAATGTAATTACCAAGGTGTATCAACAGTTAAAGAGGCTTCACTTACAGTCGTCGTGTTTCTTCTGGTTTTGGAGATAATCTTCTCTTCCTTTAACTAAGTCCATGTATAAATGCGGAAGTTGCTCAACTAAAGGAAGAACTTGTTTCATGATGGGAGGAGTAAGGTTCTCAATTTGCTTCAGAGTCATTTCTGCCTGCAAGTCAATTTTTCAGTAAGAGAGGATCTATATAATAAATGATAGCAAAGGCACATTAAAAGGACAAGTTTTCTAAGTGCATTTCCATGGCAAAGGTGGATAACAAGCACACAATTACAGACAAGATGAGGCTCAAAATCCATGCATCAAATATAAAGAATTATCAGTGAAGAAAAGGAGCAAATGCCATAAGAAAAGGCTTCTACTAATTCATCCAAAAGTATACTCTAGGAATCAACTTCTTGTAGAAGTTTAATTTTTTATAAAGATTGATATTTCATAGAAATCTCCCTATGAAACAGAATCATAGTTGACTTCCGTAACTAAAAGTTCTTTTCTTTTTATGAAATTGATTTATGTAAGAATTAGAGAAAGAACTACTGAATATTTACTTATATTTCATTATATAGAGTTAGGAGTATATGTACATAGAAGTGGGATCTACATATGAGAACATAAATCATCCTATTAATGCTAGAAAATCAACTAATAATTACATAAAAATATTCCATAATGTATTTTGTAATATTCTAACACTCTCCCTCAAGATAAAACATAAATATTGATCATGCACAACTTGTTAAGATATTCAACTTAGATTCCATTTAAAACTTTTGTGAATATATCATCTAATTGTTCTCTTGTTCTCACATAACTGATAGAAATCAAGTTTTCCTTAATCTTCTTATGAATGAAGTGACAATTACTCTCGATGTATTTGGTTTTTTTATGGTACACCAAATTTGAGATAATATGAAGGATAACTTGATTATCATTCCAAAGTTTTGAAAGTAATATGAGATTCAAACCTACTTCCATTAAGAGGTGTTGTATCTATAAGACTTCACATGTGAACTGAGTCATAATTTTGTATTCACACTCTACACTGGACCAGAACACAATGGTCTGCTTCTTACTCTTCCATGATATCAAGTTCTCACCAATGAAAACACAATAACCTGTAGTGGATCTTCTATTAATTTTAGATTTAGCTCAATTAGCATCTGCAAAGCATTTAATGTGAGTGTACCCATGATGGCTGAATAGTATACCAAGTCCTGAAGCACCTTTTAGGTAGTACAAAATCTATTTAAAACCTTTCAATGTTTGACTGTAGGTGCATATATAAATTGACTAACAACATTGACAGGATATGCAATATCTGAACGAGTTCCTGTGAGATAATTTAGTTTCCCAACTAATCGTCTGTACCTTTTCAGATCATCAAGAGGGTCATTATCATCTTTAGTAAGGTGTACGTTTGGTACCATTATTGTGTTACATAGTTTACCTCTCAACTTTCCAGTTTCTGCAAGTAAATCAAATACATATTTCTTTTGAGATAAGAAAATCTTTTTCTTACTTCTTATTACTTCTACTTCCAATAAGTATTTTAACTGACCCAAGTCTTTGATGTGATACTTGGTATGTAGAAATAATTTGAGAGAGGATATTCCTGCACATCCATCTACTGTAATGATAATATCATCAACAATAGATATGAATAAACAAACAGATGAAAGTTTGGCCAATAGAGAGAAAGTATCAAAATAATCGACCTCATAAGTCTGAATATAGCCTTTTGCTACAAGTCGGGCTTTAGTCTTGCTACTTAGCCATCTAAGTTTACTTTGACTGAAAAAACTCATTTGCACCCTATGACCCTTTTTCTTTTAGGTAAATCCACCAAATCGCAAGTATGATTTTCATTGAAAGCATTTATCTCCCCAAGGATTGCGTTGTGCTAACCAGAACGATTCAAAACTTTTTTAACTGTCTTGGGTATGCAAATTGAATCTGTAGAAGCAATGAAAGAGGTAGACAAGGGAGACAAATAATCATATGAAACATAATTAGTAATGAGATAAATTGGTTGAGAAATGGTGCACTAATATTTAACTTTACGAAGACCAATAGAAAGATCAAGGTTCTACGAGGCAGAGTCAGATGACGATGGATCTGGTGTAGCACATGTGTCATTAGTCTGTGTCTTCTGGAATAAACATGAACAATTGGTGGTGGTACTTGGGTCAGAGGCACACTAACACTGTCATCAATTTGCTCAAGGAGAGCTGAAAGCATATCATCTGAAGAAATATTATTATCTGTTTGCTCAGTAGAGGCATCTGATATGAAAATATATGAGTCATTTATTTTCCGCCTCCTAACTTGTAGACTTGGACAATGAAGAGAAGAACGGTGTATTCTCTGAAAAAATAACATCAGTTGATACCAAATATTTATTGAGATCTAGATAGTAACATCGGTATCATTCTGAAGGCGAGAACATCATAAAAATACACATTTCACGACCTTTAGGTCCAATTTTGTCACACTAGATTGCACATCTCGAACATAACAAGTGTTACTAAATATTCTAAGTTACACCAGAAACAAACACTTGTTTAGAAAAATAAGATTGTAAGGAGCATCTTCATCAAGTACTATAGATGACATACGATTAATCAAGAAACATGTTATGAAAACAACATCAGCATTTGGAACAAGAGAGCTTGAGCTGTCTCAAGTAAATGCATGTTCTTTCTCTCAGCGACTCCATTTTGAGATGATGTATTAACACACGATGATTGGTGACCATGTTGAATCATATAGTTTTGAAATAAGTTTGATATATATTCCTTAATATTATCACTCTCAATACATGCACAGAAATGTTGAATTATATCTTGACTTTAGCACAAAAATCACAAAAGTGAGAATATTTCAAAACAATTATTCATAAAATATATCAAAATCATTTGAGAAAATCATTCATAAAGATAAGAAAATACTTAAAGCTTTTTTTGAACGGAACAGAATAGGGGCCCCCAAACATCATAATGAACTAACTCAAAAGTAGACTCAGCTCGTCTATTGACCCTTGAATCTGACAGACTACGATGATATTTTACAAACTAACATGACTCGTAATTCAATAAATGTACATCATGAAATTGAGAATATAACTTCTTCAACACAGATAGAGAAGGATGTCCTAATTGGTAATGTATTTCAAATAGAAAAATAATACTAGAACAGACAACAAATAGAGGAACCCAGGTATCAAGAATATAGAGACCATCTGATATATTTCATTTACTAATAATTTGTTTCGTCATAAGATCTTGAAAAACACAGTGATAATGAAAGAATGTAATACATCAATTCAAATATTTAGTCTAACTTACTCATAGAAATAAGATTGCAAGCAAATTTAGGTAGATTTAATAAAGATGACAAAGTAATAAATGAAGTTGGTTTTTTAGTCCCGGAACCCACAATGCTATAGTTCGATCAATCAACAATAATTATAGGAAAAAGTGTTTTGTGTGATTGAAAACTAAAAAAAATATTAGAATTATTTGTCATGTGATTTGTAAGACCAGAATCACTCATCCATCTATTCGAGGAGGAGATAAGACATTTTTTCTCTAATTCAGTAAGAGTAGAAAATTTATTCAAAAATTCCTGATATTAAGTGAATTTAGCATATTCAGTAGCTGAAATCATAATAGCTCTCTCAGAAGATGAACTAGCAGTAGCAGCAACAATATTCACGGCATGTGTCATCTGATTTCAATTTTGCAATTTCTTACAGTACCACTTTATATGCTCTTGATCACGATGGTAATAACATACAATATTATCATTATTTCAATACAAGAATTATAAAAAATATCACTCAAAATACCCAAAACACAATAGTCAGAGATATCCGAAAAACACTGCAAATAAATTAGAAATTTTAAGAAAACAGAATACCTCTCTACACACGAAAACCAAGAGAACCACACTACCACCACCGGAATCCATGCGTGGCCACCGAAAAGGCATGCGCCCCTGCTGGAAATCACCAAAATACCTCCTTTCAACTGGAAGTCACCACAAAACTCTAATGCGCACCTTAATCCGGAATGACACTCGCAGAAACGCCCCAAATCGCACCAGAGAGTGGAGATTCGCTTTTTGTCATGCAATCTGCTCCACCGCAGCTTTCCCTTCTTCGGCCCTCTAGTTTCATGCACAGAACCGACCGACCGAGCTCCTCTATGGCTTCTTTCCTTGAACGGGAAACCAAAACGCAAGGGAATGCGCTCCTTCGCAAGCCCGATGCACGCAGCCTCAATCCATCGCGCAAACCATCTCCTTGGCTTCTCCCGCGTACACCACCATACTGGCTAGAATCAGAACAGGCCAAAAATCAATGGTTGTTTTTCTCCGGCTCTAGGAATGGATTGTTCAACTATTTTTTTTGGTCTGATGTAATTTTGACCCGTAAAACCCCAACCCTAACCCTATATCTGATACCATGCAAGAATTAAGAAAATGAATACTTAATATTTACTTATATTTCATTACACAGAGTTATGAGTATATATACAGAGAAGAGTTATCTATATATGAAAACATAAATCATCCTATTAATGTAAGGAAATCAACTAATAATACATAAGAATATTTCGTGATATATTTTGTAATATTCTAACAATTTATATTTAATTTTCTACTAAAATTCTCTCTATAACATTTTTCTATATATTAAGCTATTATAAATTAATTATCATAAATAAAAATTTCTATAAACAGAAAATTTAATTACAAATTTTCATAACATCAGAGCTAAAAAAATCCTAGATCAATTTCTCAAAACACTGTATCCAAACAGTCTCAACCTCTTCTGGAAAAAAAATGCAAAATAATAAAAATAAGAAAACCCTAAACAGCTGCTAGCATTATTCACCAACCACCTGCTAGAGGTGGTTGACATTTCCACCACCATCAGCTCCAGAAGGGTCCGATCGGCCGACCCCAAAAGCTCACCAACAAAACTCCATAGCAAACCGCCAAACTCACCGGTGCAAGCTCTCGCAACCGTGACCTCTCACAAATCCAAACTTTTATACCATCACATCCTACACCAGCCTCCAATCTCATACCAACACCTCTAGTTAAGCTGTTGCCAAACAACCATAGTCTGTCTAGTAACGAGAAGCTGGTGTGTGAAGCCCATGCGTGGCCAGCCACAAATTGCCATGAGCAATCTGTTTTTTTCTCCTCTCTCTTGCCAATAACTAAATACAGAATGGTCACAACAAGAACCAATGATCTCTTTGAAATCATATCTCGGCCTAATGGAATTATTTCCATAAGACAATGCGAATCAGAAGCCATTCAGATTCTAATCATCAGCCATAAGCTAAATGGAAGCAACTATATTCAATGGTCTCAATCAATCAAGATGTTTATATGAGAAAGAAGAGTACTTCATTAAAGAAGCCATCCAATCGAGCGCCGAAAATCAAAAGTTCCCAAACTTGGAAGGCCGATAAAAATCTAGTCATATCATGACTGATTAACTCCATAACAAATGATATAAGTGAGAATTTCTTATTGTACAGGACGACATACAAAACTTGGAAGCAGGCAAAGGAGTTACGCTCAAGCAAAGAAAACACGTCATAAAATTTTGCCATTGAATATAGCCTCCACGACCTGCGATAAGGAGATTTATCCCTAACCCAATACTACGGTATGCTCATTAGTGATTGGAAACAACTCGATGAGTTTGAAGAACTTGCGTGAACCTATCCAGATGATACAAAATAGTATAAAAAAATTTTAGAAAGAGAAGAAATTTGAAATTTCTCATGGGATTGAATAAAGATCTAGATGAAAAGAAGGAATAATATTTGGAATGAAACCATTACCTAAAATTTATGAGGTATTTCCGAAGTAAGAGGAGAAAGTAAAGAAGTAATGTTAGAAAATGGATTCACAAGTCCTACTACAAAGCAAAAATCTGTTTTGGCTATTCGGGGTCCTCATCCCAACTCAGACAATCGACAAAGGGAAACCTGTAGTGTGATTATTGTAGAAAACCAAGTTATACTTGAGACAGTTGTTGAAAATTTTATAGAAAACCAGTTAATTGAAGACTACAAACTCAGCTAAAAACAAAGGAAAAGAAAAATTATGTATCTATTGAGGAAATTGTAACCGCTAAGGAATCATATGCATTCAGCAAAGAGCATATAGAAGTCTTCCAAAAAAGTTTCCTACATCAAAGCTCCATTAGTAACAATATTGGATTTAGGACAACTAACCCAAAAAGGTAATTCTTTTAGTACTCTTAATAATATTTCTGGAAGTCAAAATATTTGAATCATTGACAAAGAGGCACCTGACCACATGACAGAAAGTAAAATGTTCCTCCAAGAATATAATCCATATAATGAGAACCTCACAGTAAAATTATCGGATGGATATCACTCAAAAGTAGTCAGAATAGGTGATATCCCCATCTCAGAGGAGTTAACCTTAAAAGAAGTACTTTATGTATTTAATTTGGATTGCAACTTGTTATCAGTAAGCAAACATGCCCAAGATCATAACCATATTGCTAGATTCTTCTCAAACTTATGTGAATTTTAGGAGTTGGATTCAAGAAGGATGATTGGCGAAGCTATGGTTTATTCTGGGTTCAAGGATAATTGATATTTTAGGAGACAATCCTACAATACATTATATGTTGAGTCTCAAAACAATCCAACTTAGACAATCTTGGTATACTTATGTTATGACATCATCGATTGAGATATCCAAACTTTATATACCTTCAAAAATTTTTTCAAAACAATCTAAAAATAAAAATCTGAAAAACTTTCATTGTGAAATATATTAATTTTCAAAATATACTCGTCTATATATCCCACATTACTGTACAAAACCTCTAAACTATTTGCTAAGGTACATAGTAATATATAGGGACCATTTAGAATTAAAAATAATATTAGTACTACATGGTTTATATCCTTTGTAGATGATCATACAAAAATTACATGCCTATTCATCATGAAAGAAAAATCAGAAGTTGATCATGCATTTAGAAAATTCAATAACATAGTCCTAACTCAATTGCAGACAAAAATATAAATGTTGAAGACAAGCAATACAAAAAATACTTTGAAAAAGAATTGAATTGGGCATATATGTTGAAAAAGATGGGGATTATTCATCAAAATTCATGTGTTAATACCTATCAACAAAACAGAATAGCTTAAAGGAGGAATAAATATCTCTTGGAAGTTGTCGGTCTCTTATGTTTACAACTCAAGTTCCAAAATTTTCCGAATGAGAAGTTGTTTTAACTACAATCCTTACCTTATCAACATAACGTTTTTCCAGGTCCTTGAGTTTCAAACACCTTATCAACTTATGCTCCAATACTTTCCTACCACTCGACTTCCATTTATCCTACCTATCAAAATCTTTGGTTATTCAGTCTTTGCACATACACAACTACCACATAAACAAAAGAAGACATCAAATCAATAAAATGCATCTCTATTGGGTATTTATTGAACCAAAAGAAATATGAATGTTATTCACCAGTCACCTGAAAGTTTTATAACTCCATAGATATCGCGTTTCGTGAAAACCAATCTTACTAAATAATTGGTATTTAAGGAAAGAAGAATACACAAGAATTCAAATTTTGGGACTCTAATATTGAATATTTTCATCATTCTCCAACTAAACCTATTCAGTCTCTAGAAAACATAGATCGAGATGAGACATCTAGATTTGAATCTACTCACCACACTGAGAAACCTCAAGTTTACGTTTACACCAGAAGGAACAAGAACAGAAAGAGGCACAACACCTTATTAGAATCATGAATCCAATCCAAATTCAGATACGATATCATTGAATACTTCAGAAAATCAAGAGTTTTGAATATAATCAATGTCAAACAAATCATAATATATTTGTGAAGCATGATCCTTCAAAAAAAAGGAGAATCCTCATCTTTGTATATGATATAATAATTACAAGAAATGATAAAAAAGAAATACTCAGACTAAAAAACATCTTAGCTTAAGGATTTGAGATTAAATGCCTAAAAAATCTCAAGTACTTCTTGAGAATGAAAATTGTTATATCAAAGAAAGGAATTTCAGTTTCTCAGTAAAATATAGTTTGGATCTTTTAAAAGAGATTGAAATGTTTAGATATAAGTCCGCAAACACCCATGGAACCTAATATTGAACTGGGAAGTAACATTGACAATGCTCCAGTTGACAAAGAAAGATACCAACATTTAGTGATAAATTGATTAACCTCTCGCATATGAGAGCAAATATGAGTTTTGCTGTCAATATGGTAAGTCAATTCATGAAAAACCCAACTGAAGAACATATAAAAACAGTGTTTCGGATTCTCAAGTATTTAAAAATGACATTTGAACAAGGATTGTTTTTTCAAGAAAAATAGAAGCCAGGTAGAAATATATACTGATGGAGACTGGACTGGTTCTATAACTAATAGAAAATCCATCTCTGAATATTGTACATACATATAGGGAAATCTAATTCTTTGGAGAATGAGCATTCCATGGTCTCAAGAGTAGTGCTGAGGCTGAGTTTAGAGTTTTAATACGTGATTATCTGTGAAAGAATGTGGATACAAAAGGTATTGGGTGAATTGAGAATTTTCTATTTCGAGCCTATGAAG